TTTTTATCATTACTCGATATTTCCTGCATAGTTTGTAAAATCTCTCTCGTCTGTGCTTTGAGTCGAATTGTTTTTTGTTGGGATTGAGTAAATTTCTACGGGTCTTTGTTTAAACTGATGTTGGAGTGCTTTAAATCGCTTATAAGGGGTTGCGGGGTTGAATTTGAAAGAATGGAGTGAAAATAGGCATGTTGAGTTGTTTGGCGAGCTGAGTGCAGCAAAGGAGCCATATAGAACGTTGAGTTGTTTGGCGAGCTGAGTGAAATTTAATATATTTTGAATTCATGTTCTTGATTACACATCTTTAATTTTATTTTGCGTTGGATAAGGATTAGAATTTTTTGATTTTTTTAATTTATATAGCTTATCATTTTTAAAATATATATATATGTGTGTCTTTTGCATTCTCCTTTTCTAATAATACTGCTAGTTGTTTTGCATGTTTGATAGAATACTATTTTGATTCAGTTAATAGACTAGTAATCGATAGATTGATCACTACAAATTTATTTTGGCTTATACATTGTATTGTATGGCTAAAGAGAGAAAATTATTAAATGATCTATTCTTATTACTTGCATCAGTAAGAAACCTAAAGCTGAAGAGTAAGGTGACAGTTTATCATGATCACTTTAGAAAAATTGAAGTGCATTTTAATTTGGTACGTGCAATCGTTGCTGCTGACAAGGGATTCATCGAGGAAATTGGTTTCAAACCAAATCGAAATACTGATCTATTCAAATTTCTTCAAGAATTATCCATCAAGAAATGAACCGTTTGGGCTAGCATTGAGTTGTTTGATGAAGAAGATTGATTTGAATAAACTTTTTTTAAAAAAAACGTTTATGCCTAATTCACTTTATACAAATTTTTCTAGGTATTTCTGGTACTAATTATCTATCATCTTATCAATTTATTATAAACTATTATATGTTAATGCAGTAACACGTAGACTCTATAAAATTATCTATTCTTCTATTAATTGCAGAATTGGATATATGAAACTTTTTCTCATCTTGAAAAGTATGTTGCAAAGTCTTTAGATTCTCCTTTGTACATTCGTTGTTTACTTAGATCGAGCGATAACATAACCGGAGACACATAACGGAAGGCAACACATTCCTCGTTTAATTAGATGGAGCAATTACTTTTTTTGCATTAGATGTTTGAGATGCTTGAGACATTATAGTTATTTAAAATTGAATAAAAATGAAGTCAATAAAATGAGAGAGTTAAGAAAATGTTACCTTCATTTTTATATAAAAAAGAATGTCAAAAAGTCTTTAGATTCTTCTTTACACATTCATCATTTATTTAGGTGGAACGACAACATAACAAAAGACAACTCATTTGTAATTTACTTAAATGGAATAATAATTATTTTACACGGATATGTGAGGTGCTTGAGGCATTGTAGTTATTTTAAATTGAATATAAAATAAAGTCAATAAAATGGGGGGAAGTTAAATAAAGATTGTCTTCTTTTTTAAATTAAAAAAAAAGTTGGTTATTACATTGTAATTTGAGTTGTACTTTACTACCATTACAAAAAATGAATATTTAAATTTGTTAGTATTGTGCATCAATAAATACAATCAATTATTTCTCATGTCATTGATAGATGATGGATTGTATAGATTGGCACTTTATCGTTTCAAAGGTATCTACGGCTTGAAGCAATGGTAAAAAAAAATAGTATATTAAAAAATTTCTATATAAATTAGATTTATTGAGGATCATAACTGAATTCACTATAAATTTTAAAGTACATGCTTTATCTATAGTATATTTTATGAGTTTATAGCTCTTACTAGCTAGCATATTAACGAAAAAAAGATATAATTAATTAATAAAAAAAAGTTTTTTAATTTTACATAGCTATATGTGCTTGAACAAATCATATAATCATATAAGAGTCTACGTAAATTTGGAGCGATGATTGAGGATGGATAGTTGTTATACGGTGAACATCCTCAAAATAATATATAATAAAGTACAAGTATGTTTTGTGTGAGGATTTCATTTTCTCAACCACAACTCATCATCATACATCTTTGATTATTATCTTCAATTTATATGCACTCTTATATGACTATATGACTTGTTTAAACTCACTAAATTGGATGAATTTTAATTTTAAAAAAAAATTAATTAGTTAATAATTCTCTTTTTAAAATTCTACTAGTTTTTGTCTATACATATGTATCCTAATCTAGTAACTTTTTTATGGATGAAAGTCTTAGGATAGAATTTACTATAAGAAGTCGAGTACCAAACTAAGCATAGGCTAGCCTATATTGATACCTTAATCCATAAGAAACTTACTAGATTAGGATACACATGTATAAACTCTAACTAGTAGAATTTTAAAAGAGAATAATAAATTAATAAAAAAAAGTCATTATTGAAATTTATACAATCAAATGAGTTAATACAAGTCATATGATCAAACAAAAGTCCTCATAAATTGGGCATATAATTAGAGGTGTATGACAATGAATTGTGGTTGAGCAAATAAAATCCCCATAATATACTTGTGTTTGATCAAAATAAGAGTCTTCATAAAAGATGTCGATTGTATTACCACAACTCTTCCTCACCGCCAATTTATGTGGACTGTTACATGATCATATGACATGTTTAAATTAGTTTAATTGAATAAATTTCAAAAATATAATCTATTGTTAAATTAATCATTTTATTTTTTCAAATATACACTGGTTATGGTCTATATATAAGTATCATATTCTAGTAGGTGCAATATCGATCATTGTTTAACATAGATATAAATTAGAATATATCTAACTAATGTCAGCATGTAAATCGCCTTGGTTAGACATACACCATACAAATAGAGATGTATCGAATGTTTAAAGGGTCTATATATTTTGACAACCAGTAAAGATTTAGATATTAAAATATTAAAAGGTAAGAAAAATTATACTTAAATTATTTCTTATAGATTGTTTGATTTGGTGCACTAAAATAGCATGCACGAAACAATACAAATGCATTAAAATACACAGCTTGATATCATGATAATTTTTTAGAGCACTTTCGTAAATCATTCTAAGGTACGCATTAAAATCTATGATTTATACCATAAATTTTTATATATTAATAATACACAAGTAGTGAACTTGATAATAAATGTTAATATATAGTGTACAAGTTGTATCTCATCTTTTGATTGTATTTAAATCAGATCAGGAGTAATTTTAATAATAGCTGACATTAAATTGACCAAAATGCTGAGGTCCAAAAAAGTAGTAGCTTGAAATCTCCTGTATCTTGATTAAAAAGACAAATTCAATTAAGCTGATTTAAGATTTGTTGTTGTTTATACATGTGATTCTCTTGCAAATTGAACATTTGTTTCTTCTCTTGCTCTTGAAATCCTTACCGACGCCCTTGACACATTCTCTTCTTATTCTTCCAAGCTTGGTATCGACAAGAGGTGGAAGAATCTCCACATTATGAAATTCTTATGGCACACAACATTCCGACTCGAGGTACAACCTTAATAAAATCCAAGTTAACTCACTCACCTCAAATTACGTTTGCAATCATAACGTCATATGACACATTGCAACATAACACACATTGTCGTCTTACTAAAAGATTTTCAATTCTAGCTTTTGGGAGTCTCCTCCCATCAGCAACAACAAATTCATCTACTGTCATTTTAGACTATAAAAATAGATACTAGACTACAGTATCAATTTTTTAATGATCGATGTGATAAGAAATTTGTACAAAACGTGACTGAATGAGATCGGATTCAAAATTGAGTTCGTGCAATGATAAACACATCTATAATGCTTCTAAACTGCTTAGATGTATCTACTAATGATTTATCAAGTTATTATGGAAGATTTCTGAATCTTCTAAAATGATGAAAAAATAATTTTAAAGCTTAATTTTTAAAAGAATGGAGTAAAAATGAAAACAATGAGTTGGATGATGATGATTTTACTTATGAAATGAATAATATGACCGAAAAATTCATCGGAATTGACAAAATCAGCAGCAAAAACAAGTTGTTTGTTGGAGAGTTTTTCTTTTTCAAATATAATTTTAAAAAATATGAAATACGCATGTTATTCCATATTTGTCGGGGGGGAAAAAGGGGACCAAAGTTTATATATTAAAACTTAGTAGATGCTTTTGTATGTCCCAAGTAGAGCACATGGGTGATGTCATAATTAGTAGTTATACCACTAATTTTTCAAGACCTGTCACTTAAGGTCACATTGAGTCTTGAGAGTGGTTATTTTGCCAACTCTCCTAAGAAAGTACCAAGAACAAAGTAAATGTAAGTATTGTACCATTCAATTCGTAGATTATACAATTAACTCAATTTCCATCTTGGTTACGTTCTAGTGAGTATTGACAAATCAAATTCTTAACGATTTATTTTATTCAACCTTTTTACAATAATTTTTTTGTGAATTATGTGGTTAGTTGTTAGAGAAAAAATACTGTTAAAATTAATGAAACTCTTTCTTTGAATTAATAAAGATGGCAAAAAATGGTAAATTTTGTAAGTTATGTCGGCTTCATAGTTATATTTAACACTTTTGGGGGGAAATTGAACACATTTTATAATATATTAAGGATTATTTCGATCACCTAGAACAAATTAAGGACCAAAATGAAGCAACCTCTATACATCAAAGAGCATTTTGATCGTTTTCTCCACAATTATTGTGTTATATAAATTTGAAAAATGGAGAGAAAGGGTTCTTGGCGGCTAGGGGAAGAAGGACAAAAATAACATTGAAAGAAATTTAGCTTCCTAAAAATCATTGTTAAATATGTTGGTTAGTCTATTTATAAATAAATTATAGGACTATATAAGATATAAACTGTTTTGAAATGTACATTTGTAAGAACCCCCTTCTCCTTGCTAGTAGTAGCTTCACTATTTAGACTAGGGTTATTTCTGCAACGGTTGAGTTGATCTTCCAAGGGATTCTACCAAGCAAACAGCATAAAAATTCAAGAAACTGTGAAATCAAGCCATGCCATTGCATTTCCAGAGATTGTAGACAAGTTACAATTCCACTGCCATTCCTATATCCAACGTCTCCTAATTCTACTATGCATAAAAAACAAACAAAAAAAAACACATTAATATTATCACTGCTTTACACCTTCTATCATGCATGTGGATCATGAAGTGCAACAAAATTTGGTATATGATGGTGGGAGGACTAAAAATGGCCATGACATCATTGTTATTTTATCATGTAAGCTCCCCTTGTCTCATATATAGGAGACCTCTCTACCTGTGGCATCTTCTTGCAGTCCAGAACAGGTGGAGCATTATTCTGAAATGTCCTTTCTAACTCGGTTCGATTGTCTTTTTCAAGCTCGACTTCTTTTGAACATCAACTGCAGAGCATTGTGTTCACTACAAACCTAGCTCACTAACACGTCACCTTCCAACATCCGAAGTACCTACAAGTGCAATGAGAACAACAAGAAGTGTGTATATACATAAGGATCATATTATAGTTTTCAGATGAATTATATTCTGAGGTGTTACTAACATAATGTCATTAAGTTTGACCTTGAAAGTAACATGAGCTTTGCTTGTTGATGATAAGCAATTACAAATGACATGGTTATATGCCAGTTCGTACTACTCTAGTGATATAAGCAATGTTTTCCTTCTTATAGAGCAGACCAGAAACAAGAGTGTTAGATGATGAATCAAACAATAGAGTACCGGCAAGCACCGGCTCTAACCTCCTATGATTATTGAGCCATGAGGAACTTCCTGAGTTTTAATAACTTTACTCAAGAATGATCTCTTATTGAAACAAAGCTGAAACACCAGTCATGAAGAATCTATTAACATTAGGTCCTTTCTGATTCTTTTGTTTTTTGGGGTGGGGGTAGACAATTTTGTCTTCTCGTATTACTATATATCTCTAGAGTCAAAAATATTATATGAAGAACTAATGAACTTCAATTACTTGCTGCTGTTTACTGTTGAGGTCTATCAAGTGAAGCTTTTGCAATTGGTCGATAGTTTGGACCAGAGTCATTATAGTCAGAGCATATAATTAGCTTCCAGAACTAGAAACTATGGTAGCAAAAATAGGCCGTTTTCTCACAAGTTTAAATTTTTAGACAGCTACATTCAGTATATATCTCTACCTGAGACATCCTCGGCCTTGAATTAGGGTCTCGGCGAATGCATAATGAAGCACAATGTAGCATGCCACGAACCTCCTGCTCCAAGCAGCAGTTCACTAGACATGGGTCGATGAGTTCAGAGATGGCACTCTTTCGAAGCAGAGGACGTGCCTGCTCTATTCGGATTATAAGGATAAACTATTAGTACTCTAAACCATTAAAGCATGGGTATACCCAGACACTAATGTGCCAGTAAAACACAAGGAAAACTTAGAGAACTCATACCCATTCACTGAGGGACTGCTGGCCCTTTGGGCGGTTAATGTCTATAGCTTTTCTTCCAGTGACAAGTTCCAATAGTACTATACCAAATGAGTATGCATCAGCTTTTTCAGTTATTTGACCACTTTGAGCATATTCCGGTGCCAAGTACCTGAACAAGAAAAAGTTGCACCAACTAATAGGCCGAAAGATAGTGTGCCGGGACAACTGTGTAAGGTTTCATATACAGTTATTTACCCAAACGTTCCAATTACTCTGGTATCAACTCCTAAGTTTCCTTCAGGTTGCCACCTTGCCAGCCCAAAGTCTCCAACCTATATCACAATGAAAAAGTGAAGAAAGGGGGCTTAAAATAGAAGAAGAAAAAAAAGAATATTAGAACCAAGCAAGAACAAGTAGAAGTTTGTTTTGTGACCAGATTTAGAGAACAAATACTCTACTACATTTTAAAGACAATTACAGAAGATATTTCAGAAAACTGTTTTTCCCTTCCATCATGTAGAACACAGATTTACAAAAATCAACTAAAGCTTGTGTTCTTTTAAAGTAAATAAAGAAGGCCAAAACATGACAAGCAATAATGCAAATAGAGAAACTAAAGTGTAAAAGAGCAATACGCACCAATGGCTCAAAATCATGAGTTAGGAGGATATTACTTGGCCGCATGTCACGATGAACAATACAACCTACTCTGCACTCCTCATGCAGGTATCTCAGTCCTCGAGCAGCTCCCACAGCAATCTTTTGACGTGCTGACCAATTTAATGGATGTCCATTACGTCCTGTGCATTGACAACTTGGTTATGAACATATAATTATGGGTTGCACAGTTTTTGACAGGTTCCGAAGCTTTCAAAAAACTTCGTTGTTCTCTACATGCTCTACACATGACCAAAAGAAGTTCTCATAATAATCGTCCATATAAAGCGAGTTCGTAAGGTGAAAAAACACTTTATGACTAGAAGTGGAATCTCACACTCAAGATTATAAAATTAGAAGAAAAAAAAAGAAGAAAATAACAGTTTAAATTTCCACTCACTTAAATCATTTCAATGTCATATAGATCAAGAACTGGATATGGGGTTTAATGAGTATTGAGATATAAAAACATATGACTAGAGAAGTTGGTACCATAAAGGTGAGAATCTAAAGAGCCATTGCAGATGTACTCATAAACTAGTAACCTTCTTCCATCTTCCACACAGAAGCCTATCAGCATCACCACATTTCGATGTTGAGCACAGCTCAGGACCTCCACTTCAGAGCAAAATTCAAGGTCTCCCTGTGAACTAGCTGATTTGTATTGCTTGACTGCTATGACTTGGCCATCTGGTAGGTGTCCACGATGTACAGAACCATACCCACCCTCAGCCAAAAAGTTAGCTTGTGAAAATCGACTGGTAGCGTGTTCGAGCTCAGAATAAGTGAACCACCGAGGTGGTTTTCCAAATAAAGGTGCCTTGTGTTGACATATTGAACAAAGTGGAGGAGGATCAGCGGGAGAACTTTTGTTTAATAACATCATTTTTCTCATATTACTGTTTATTTCCACATCATGCCCTTTTTTTTTGAGCAAACTTTAGGCTCTCGATCAAGTCCAAATAATTTCTCTGGGAAAGCATCATGCTTTAACTTTAGCAGTGTGCCTTTTGATCTTGGTGAGTCTCTCTTTAAGTAATGTGAGAAATCCTTAGCTGCAACAAGAATGTCTTGCATCCATTGCTGGGAGCATATGCTTGTGGTAGGTGAACTCAGTTTTTCACTATCAGTATCAGAATCGGATTCATCTGAATAATGATTGCTTTTGTGTGAAAAGGTCTTCTTCGTATCCCAATTGACCTCTGAGAAGAAAAGAGGAGAAGTCCCTATGTCTAGACTGGAAATTGAGGATGTCCCAGCATCAGTTGTGGTGAACGATGAATGCTCTGGACTACTTGCTGGAGTCACATTCGGCACCCGAATCTCATTCCAGTGATCATCAGACTTTTCACCTAAATGTTTCGAAGATGCTTGTGACGTACGGGAGACTTCAGTTTCAGTGTTGGGGGATCCAAGGAAATTCAAACGAAGCACTTTTGGTTGAGAGTTTTTCATCTGAACAATATTGCATTCCAGTTGCTCCATACAGATTCTAGCCTCTTTTTTCATTCTCCTGGACATGAGTACATGCATTTAGCAACAAAAGAACACCTACATTTTAATCAGATGCAAGAAACAATAGTTTTTATATGAAAACATGAAATAAGATGTACACCATATTACTTATCCAATACCACCCATCGAGTCTGAACTCTCCTAGCTTCAGCAGCTACTACTCCAGACTGTGATCCAGAAATGACTTTGACCTTCACCTTCATCTGTGAAATAGAACAGAATGATGTGGTAATCCTATGTTTGTGAGGGAACTAAGATTTCAGAATTAGATAGATAACTTACTTTATTTGGATCATAAATATCATGAAGTTGAAGCAACATTTGAGTACACGATTCTGAAATGAAATCCTTTTGATCTAAAGTCGTTCCAGACAGTGATCTCCAGTTGCTAGCCGTGCAATCACTGTTAAATCTACGTAAACCCCAAAGCTTTATACCTGAAAGCGTAGGCAACCAGTTCTGAACTACTTTTAACATATTCCTCTGTAGCAAATGAAAGTAATAATGATGACCAAGAGTAAGAAAAACTAGAATCACATGAGTAGTAAATATACTAATTCTTTCAAAGGCCAAGTTAAACAGCGCAACGACATGAATCAAGGCTTGAACTGGTAATAGCTCTAGAAATTCTGGAAGAAGCCGCCTTATTCATTATCAACAAAATGAGCACAAGTACAAAAAACATACCTAATAAAGTCCCACTAATTGGGGTCTGGAAAGCGTAGATTATACGCAGACCATTTCACAAAAAGATGAGCAGAAATGAAGGAAACAAAAACAAGGTGATCCTCTAAATTGCACAATCAACAGCAACATACCCAGTGAAGTGTTACCACTACCTCTCGTCGGGGTAGAGAGGCTGTTTCCGAAAAAAGGAGCATAAATGAAGGAAACAAAAAACTGGGTAATCCTCTAAATTAGACAATCAATAATAGCAAACTTCTTCTGCAGTAATTGAAGGAAATAAAATGAAACATAAAAGGAGAAAGCCCTTAGTAGTATGTTAGGGCAGAAAAAGAATTTACTTGAGGTATGATTAGGAATGAGAACCAGCAACTTAACAGAATCTCCAGGTTGAACCACATGAGTTAATGCCCAAATAAAAGCACTTCTTGAAATATCTCTTGAAGCTTTCACAGCAACAACCACAACTCTCTTTCCCACATCCTTCATCTCAGATAAATTCAAATTGTTTGATTGTTTCTCAGAAACCCATTCAGTTTATGTTGCAAATAAAAAATTCCCAAATCCAAAATCAAGAATTGGACGGATTTAACTGAAAGCAAGAATAAAATGTGCAAAGTGTGACCCAGAAACAGAAAGCGAGGTGTCATGATTTTCTGGTGTTAAGTAAAAAGGGTAAAAGCAGACAAATCCAATAGTCAGCAAAGCCAGCAAACTTCGATAATAATTGGGATCAATCAAACAAGGGTGCGGTGCCCAACAAAAATCGAAACGATAATCAAGGACAAAGACAGTGAAAGATAAACAAACTTTGAATAACAGTTCGTTTTCCAGTGACCCCACAGCATTCCTATCTACTCTTCTTCCTTTTTATACGTTGATAGCTTTCTATTACTGTATGTACTAATGGAATCAACCTAACTACACTCTAAGAATATAACCTCTCCTTTGCCCACATTCTCAAGTGGAAAGTTAACCTTCAAAAACATTGACTTTCTCAATTTTGATATTTTTGGACTTGAAATTAAGGGTGTGCATTCCATTTTATGGCTACATTCAGTTTGGATATTTTGATTTTTGGTTCTGTAAAAGTGTAACTCAATTCCATTCAAAATAAATTTATTTATTTTATTTGATTTGGTTATGTCAATAATTAATAGCATAATAGTAATATTTAACCCTTTAAATATACTTTATAATAATACTATACTTAAAAATATACTTATTATAGATGTTCAAACATAGACTATAAACATAAATATTATGAAAAATAATAACATATCTCTATCTATCTATCTATCTATCTCTCTCTCTATATATATATATACTTTATAATAACACTATACTTATAAATATACTTATTATAGATGTTCAAACATAAAATATAAAATGTAAATATCATGAAAAATAATAACATCTCTCTCTATCTATCTATCTATCTATCTATCTATCTATCTATCTATCTATCTATATATATATATATATATATATATATATATATATATATATATATAGTTTTTTCGGTTTTATTTTGTAAAATTTGAAACCAATCAAAAAATCAAACAAAGTAATTTATTAATCCAAAATTGATCCGGAAGACCAAAATATACAATCTAAATAAAAATTCAGTTTGATTTGATTTAGTTATTCGATTTAATTCAAATAGCGCACACCCCTAGTTGAAATTGTGTTTGTGGATTCTCCCCTATCGAATGATAGTGGTCCATTATTTAGTTGACACACTCCTTAAAAGAGCAATAACTAATATTTCATTCGTTCCATTTTATATGACATCATTTCTTTTTGGATCAATCCCAAAATGAATGTCAGATTTTCTTATATGGTTAGTATTTAAAGTTATAATTTATATTTTACCCTTATCGGTGCTACTTAATTTTCTAATACATTTATGAGCAGAGAGAAAAGTGAGTTACTTTTTTGAAAGATAATTTGATAAATATTTTAAAGTCTTCATTATTTCTTAAACTCCGTGTCGGGTCAAATTTGTCACATAAAATGGGAGGGAGGAAGTAGGGTTGATATTACTATATTATTCTTTGACTTTATTAAATTTAATATTTTGAAAAATATTTTAGAAAATAAAACAATATTCAATAGCAGTGATAAAATAGACACAAAAGATAAATTATCTCAACTTTATAAATTGGACAACTATTATTAGACATCTATTTTTAATATTTATTGGACGGATGAAGTATTACTTTAATCCGAAAAGCTTTGATGTTTTGGTAAGCAAAAGTCTAAAATGTGTTTTTGGAAATGAAAATATTTTTAAAATAAAATTTTAAAATCTAATCTAAAATTTATAATCTAGTTGATATTTATAAATACATTTTTTAAATCTGATTCAAAATTAATCGTCAAAGATAAGGAACTAGGGGCAACACAAGCCCCATTAATTTGGTTCACTCTTAATTTGTTCAAACTTTAAATAAATAAAAAGAGGCTAAAATATATCCAAAATATTAAAAGTAGCTCATAAATGTCTTCCTTTTAACTTTAGGGTCTACAAATATTCTTAATGTTTTATAGGCTCAAATCTACCCAACAACTAATGGATCAAGTTGGTATATTTTGGACTTTAATAATTATATAGCACGTTATAATTTGGCACACGTATAATTTAGGATTTATTTCATTTATTTAAACCTAACCTTATTTAATCTTAACTTAAGCCCACGACCCCTTTTTGAATTATTCTTCCTCACTAGAAGAAATTGATTTCAAGTAATGACTTTTGAAATTTAAAATTAGGTTCTGTAATGTACAAACCCTCAATTTAGATTTATAAGTCATCAAAGAAGCAAAGCCTCTTAATATACGATTTTGGACAATCTTATGTAAAACAATCTGAGGAGCAATTTAACAAAGAAAATATGTATAGTTCTCAATAGATTATAATACATAGAGAGCAAGTATAAAATCTATAACATAAGATATTTGGAAGTTTTTCTACCTACAAGTGTTATTTATGGAGAGCAAAGATGCTAATGTTATTAAAGAATGTAGAATGTTCATGTGAGTTTAGGAACTAAGGACATGTACACTACAATTTGATCCACCCCAATCTTCTTGGAGAATCCCATAAGATTAAGAGATGATTGAGGAGAGATTCAAAAGTCAAATTGAGTCGTACCGGCTCAAGTAGATATAGAGTGTGTTTGGTATGAAGGAAAACATTTTTCTGGAAAATGTTTTCCAATTTTCTCATGTTTGGTTGGGGCAAAAGTTTTGGAAATTTTTTTCCAAATCAACTCATTTTCCTCAAAATTAAAGAAAATGACTTCCCTTCAAAAATTAAGGAAAACATTTTCAAAAAGCTCTCCTCTAATTTCAAATTACAATTTTTTTTGGAAAAACATCAATTTTTTAAAAAATATTTTCAATTTCAAAATTTTATTTTTTCACCCGATCCCCGACTACCTTCCTCCTAGCCCCCCTCCCAAAAAATTAATTTTTTTTTTAAAAATATTTTCAACTTCAAATATTTATTTTTAAACACCTACCTCCCACCCTGGCCAGCCCCCCTACCCACCCATACCAGCCCCCAACCCCAACCCCAACCCCCAAAAAATTAATTTTGCTTTTTAAAAATACTATCAAC